AACATGAAGAATTAATGCTTTTAAATAAATGGAGCAGTATTTGTGAGCATGTGAATTTGCATGAAGATTAATTGTTTTTGTTGTAATACTAGAGTGTGGCCAAGGCAAAGTCTGTCAAGAATCCCCACCATGTTCCATCCTTTTGTGGAGTTTAGAGATTCTACTGAGCAGATATACTGACTCTTCTATCTCAGCTGTACACAGACAACAGTGCAGAAATGTAAGAATATACACTTCAGTTACAGTCACAGCCGTATCAGTGATAAATGCTACTTCAGTACAACTCAATGATTACCTGATGCCACTAAATAGTGACATTTTGAGCGATCTCACTTGGCTAGATTTGTACTGATTACTACACCAAGAATTACAAACAATTATGCTGAAACTAAGAAAGACAGATACACAAAAAAGGAAAGAAAAAAACAAATCAGAGCTCCTGGCATTATATAACACCATATTACCTAAATATTCAAATAAGGTGTTGGCTCGCAGTATTAAAAGTGTGGAATTGTAGCCAACTGTGTCATACTGGCCGCAAATTGAGCTCACGCCATGTTCCTCCACCTATTCTTTAGGGACCCCATGTCCACAATACGGCTCACCCCAATCATGAGGGCAATGACCTTCTCTATTGCATTTGCAGGAGGGTGGGGCTGCCAAACAGAGGAAGGTATGAGAACATCTACTTGCATTGAGTCCTTCTGCAATGTAATGTTAAGAGGGAACCCAAGAAGTAGAAGCTAGATATAGTATGCCCACATTATGCAAAAGGAACATGTGGTCTCAATCCCTTTATTAAAATAACATTAATTTGCAGAAACATAACCACAAAAAAACACACTTACAAAATGTGTACAAAATGTTACCATTTACTATTTCAGTATTTAAAGACTACAAAAACTGATTTTAAAAGTGTATGAATAATTCAAACCCATTTGAAGCAGTGAATGTACTGAGATTAAAACCTATTGCCCAAAGTATCAGCCATGTGTGTCCAGCAGACAGAAATCCAGCTCAATGGACTTTGGTGTATAGCATTCACCTACCTACCTCATTTCTGTATTTATTTAAATTGCTCCTGGAACAGAATTTGCTGTGCTCAAGTAAGGATAGCTTTTTACTGATTTATTGTCTTGTATAAGTGCTTTATGGGTCTGATGCTGACACAGAGAAATCCATGGCACAGTGTCACCATAATGCTGCCAAGTCCTTAGCCTCACGTTCCCTCTGCATTGTGGCTACGGCTGCTCCATTTTACAACAAATGGCACTTGAAAAGCTCTCAGCCTTACTCAAAGATAAATGGAAATTAATTTTCCTTCAGCCTGGATGCCCAGACTATGCTGACTTCAAGGAGGCAAAAGATGATACACAAGATACCACTGTTTGCTCTATCTGAAAAATAAGATTATCCCAGGACCAAAATATATCCCACCCAAACAACTAATTTAGTACCAACACCTAGGAGTTTGAAATATCTTCCTAGACCCAGATTATCTTATGCCTGATTCTATAGCAGGTCACATAAGAAAGAGCCTTCCCCAAATCAGTGATCTCCATAAATGTTGGGCTACAACACCCATCAACACCAAGCAGCATGGTGTTGTTGTCCAATCCCCAAGGCACCAAGCTGGGAAAGGTTCCTAAAAGACAAAAGCTGTGGACCAGGGGTAGGCAACCTTTCCCCTTTAAGGGCCGAGGGACTTCAGCTCCCAGAAGCCTCAGCCATGTTGGCCAATAGTCCCATGTTGGCCAATAGCTCCTGGGATTCTGGGAGCTGAAGTCCCTCGGCCCTTAAAGGGGAAAGGTTGCCTACCCCTGCTGTGGACCTTTAATTTCATTTTCCTACATGTGTACTTGATATTCTGATACCAGAATGAATTGTTGTTACTGTTGTTATCATCATGGAGGGAGCAATCCCACTAGGATGATGACATGGTTATTATTATTCTACAGCACACTCTGTGGAAAGACTTTTTCTGACTTTTCCCCTCTTGATAAGCTTTCTCTCCACATACCATTGCTCAGTTAAGTTGACTTTTTCTTTTTCCTCTTTCCCCTCTTGCTGCTGCTACTGGCCTCTTCCTAGATTCCCAGCAGACTATAACTATCCTTTCACTCCTCATCTCCTAGCACCATCTGCTGCTGGCCCGTTTCCTGCAAAGCAGGCTGCTGGCACAGCAACTTGCAGTGACAGGAGGCAAATGCTTACCTCCTGAGCCGGAATGACTTCCTTGCTCTCTCCACAGTACTGCTGCCTAGGCAAGACACTGCTGGGTGGCTTTTTCTCCTTAGCGCTTTCCAATACTTCCCATGAGAACAATGGGAGTGAACAGAAATAAGAGAGGAAACTAGCAAAAAGCAGAATGAGCCTGGCTGACTTGGCACTTGAAGTTTACTCCACCATCCTATTATCTTCATCTCCTCTGGTTTCAGAAGCTAAGAAGAGGCAGGCCCAGTTAACACTTGGATGGAAGACCACCAGGGATCTATAGGTAATGCTAGGCAATAATCCTGCCTAAAACTCTGGAGAATGACAGACATTACTTGACAATATTATACTGAATGAAACAACAGACTCAGTGAAACAGGGCCCCAAAGACTATGATCAGAATTATGCCAAAACATGCCAAGTACCAGTACAAAGGTTTAGACAGTGCTTTTCTTAAAGGGAGCTTATAGCCTTGGCAGAGGAAGGATTGGGAAGGGGAGGGAGAAAGAAGGGCACTGAGTGTGAATTAATCAAGGCCATATATGTCAAAGAAATCAGGACAGTTCAATAAGTGGAGTCTCATATATAAAGTCTCATATATAATTAACTACCATCTGCAGAGATAGAGAAGAAATAATATAGTGGAAGGTTTTTATCAGAATTGGGGAAGGTGAATCTTAGGTAATGATCTTGCAAGCCAAATGAGTGAGAAACTGGTGTGAAAGAAACTATCAGATGTGCCTAAATAAAAGAGAGCTGCCTTGGATACTAGGGTCAGAAAGGGATAGGGTTGCAGGGGTATAGGTGACACAGGATGCAGATGGTGGAAGCATGAGAGTTATAATAGATGGCCAGTCTCTTTGGACCTTTGTACCAGGTAAAGGTACTAGATCCCATCTAATCTTTGAAGCTAAACATGATCAGCTCTGGTTAGTGCTTGGATGGGAAACTGAAAATCAATACCAGGTGCAGTAAGCTATATGTCAGAGGAAGGAAATGACCAAACAACCTCTGAGTATTCCTTGCCTAAGAAAAACTTATGGAATTCATAAGTCAACAAGTGATGGAAGGCATATAAACACACACCTGGTATGGTAGGTGAGCAAGATGAAAGGGTGGCTTTGTGGAAAGAAAATAACGTCAGGGAAAAACTAAAGCGGCTAAGATGATATACATATGCACAGATACATACATGTGACAGCGAGATGCATCCAGGCAAACACAGTGAATTCTACCACATTTACCAGAAGCTTAAGGTGAACATGAACATATAGCAGGATGAAAGAAGTAATAGGACAGAACCTGGAGTATATTCAGCCCTATATTAAAAGGAACGCTCTAGTCCTACACTGACCAGCAACTAAATCCAGTTTAACTTCTGAGTTAGCCATGGACATGACTGGGCTGTCAAATCCTGACCCCTTGGAAAGTACTGTATAACCAAATCCAAAAAAACTTGGGCTGGGTTTGGAAAGGCTTGGGAAAAGTGGCGGGCGGAGAAGGAGAAACGCAGCCAAAGGAGATCTTATCGGGATAGTGTTCACCTCCTCAACATTTTAACGAGTTGCACGAAGTTCCTCCCCACTTCCAACTTTTTCTTCCTTTCTGGAGCTGCCAGAGGGAGGCATCCGTTTGGCCCAACTTCGGCGGTAACGGTAACGAAGTCGACAGGCATAACGAATTAAGTGTTATTACTTAGGGGGGTTGCAGACTGCCAGAAATAGTGCAAATTGAGTCCACTTTAAGGGTTAGGGTTAGGGCTAGGGAATCATGGGAATTGTATTTTATTGTGGCACCAGAGCTCTCTGACAGAGAAGACTCAATGTCTCAGAAAAAAAACCAATTCCCATGATTCCCTAGCACTAACCCTAACCCTTAAAGTGGACTCAATTTGCACTATTTCTAGCAGTCTGCAACCCCCCTTACAAACAACAAACTGCTCTAGTGAAGCTGTGTACACAACTCCTTTCCCATAGAAAGAAAGTGTACACAATTCCTTTCCCATAGAACAAATGAAGGACTTTTAAAAAAAGAAAAGAAAAAGAAAAAGGAGGGTGAGAATGAGTACCAGTGCAACCTCCTGATCTCCCTCCAACCGATCTGAGTTGTCTCATAGAATCAGAGTTGGAAGAGACCCCAAGGGCCATCCAATCCAACCCCCCCTGCCA